ATGAATATGCATCTGAGTGATGTTGTCACCCTGCCCTGCCTGTTCCTGCATGTGCTGGTGGGGAGGAAAGCCCATTTCCTGACAAACCTTTTAGACGGTGGTCTGAAAAAGGGAGGGCTCCAACCTTTTCTTCTTCCTTGTGATGGAGGAATCTCATCTGGTAACTTCTCTGCAGCATCCTGTCAGTGCTGCCTGCTCCCTGCGGTTAAAGCCTGAGATCCCCTAGCTGTCTGTCTCGCAGCCGGCAAACTTTTGTCTTCTGCTAAAGCCCAGATTTGCCATTGCTACTTTTTCTTAAGATAAAATGGCTCACAAGGTTTTAAACAAAATCTGAACAGAAGCCCTACTTATTTTGCTGTTCTTTATGGGTCACTCTGTCGTGTGGCAAGGATTTGAGGCTAGGTTCAAGATTCACACAGAGCAGGTGAAGAAAGGTTGGGAAATGCTTCGCTTTTTCCTGCTAGGGATTTCCAGCACTGCCCAACAAGTTGGGATTGTCAGTGAAAATCTCAAGGGATAACGTAAATCTCCCCTGGACAGTCAGTAAAGGGAGAGATTCAGCTTGAATCCTGGGTGTGAAAGCTCGTGAAGGGCTCACATCGCAGGGTCAGTTCCAGCTATCCAGGAACATCCTTTTATTGAAGTGATTGATCTCGTAAAGGGAGAAAACAATGATCTCCCACCCCCAGAGCCACTGTGCTCCCCTCGTAAACGATCTGGTGGTCTCTGTGCAACCAAGCCGTGTGTACTCGATGCCCAGAGCCCGGCTTGCACTGGGGTGTAACCTCGCAGGAGTGCTGGTTTCTGCAGGCTGCCCTTGCCAAGGGAGCACACCAAAGGCACAGGGCCTGGGGCCACCCAGCTCCCACAACAGGTAACCACAGTTTTACCAGTGCTTGAACATCTGCTGAAAGATGGGCCCAGTGCAGCCCGGGGTGAGGAGGGACAGCTTAAAGCTGCCTGGTGTCACCTCTGTCTGGGATTCATGGGCTTCGCTCAAGATTCCTGTTGATTTGATTCCCCAAGCTCCCAGGGAGCAAACGGGAAAGGCCACCCTGGCTGGACACCGGCAGGGAGGAGCTTCCCAGAGCTGCACTTGAACATCTGCTGAAAGATGGGCCCAGTGCAGCCCGGGGTGAGGAGGGACAGCTTAAAGCTGCCTGGTGTCACCTCTGTCTGGGATTCATGGGCTTCGCTCAAGATTCCTGTTGATTTGATTCCCCAAGCTCCCAGGGAGCAAACGGGAAAGGCCACCCTGGCTGGACACCGGCAGGGAGGAGATCCCCAGAGCTGCAGGTGCCACCAGCCATGCTGAGGACACAGAGAGGGGACAGTCGCCTTCACCGTAAACCTGTAAGTGACAGCCTGCGCGCAGGTGGTGAGCCGAGCAGACAGAGTGAGATGCTGTCAGTGTGGTGGAGTGCAAATAGATCAGGCAGAGAATTGCTTCTCTGCGTATCCGGTGCAGGCTGAGGAATGGCGTGCAGCTTCCCAAGTTCAGGTTAGCTGGGATAATTTCCTGGCTTTTCCCTCTAGCAGAGCTCAGGGTAGATCTTGGCCCATTGCTGCTCAGGCTCCAACCTGGCGCGCCCTGGTCATTATGTTGCGTGGACATTTGTGGGGATGGGCAGGGAGTTTGACCACTGCCTAGAGCAGCTAGAAAGCCTGAGTGAGCAGGTGGAGGTTACAGTGACTTCTCACAGCCTTCTCGTGAGCAGCATCTGCTGCTGTGGGACCATGCTAACAGGGCTTGGTCCTCTGCACTGCGACCAGGCAAGATGAACAGGGAGAGGGCAGGGGGGGTGTAAAGCAAGCACCTTGTGAGTTGTACTTGCTAAGAAAAGCAAACTGGTGCAGCTGAACTATATCATGCAAATAAGGACATTCAGATGGCATGATGTGGTCCAAGGCTGCCCCAGTGCCAAAGCAGAACTGAGAGCGCAACGTCCACCAGCCAGGAAAGCATCAGGAGAAGCAGATCAGGGGGTGCGCACCTGCAAAGGGTGTGCTGGGCTGGCAAGGAGAAGCCCACTGAGTCAAGTTACTGCTCTGACACCAACACTATATTATTTAAAGTAGGAAGCCTCTAAGATGGAAGTATTAATATTTTCCTTACATATTTGAGCAGGCAGTTACTGAAAGCTAATGAATTTTTAAGGCTGAACATCATAACTGTATGTACATAAATACAAGTAATGATGTATGAGAAGCTGCCGTCCTGTGTTTGCACACACTGCTAACAAGACAGGGGACATTTGATACGTTCGAGTAGCAAACCAGCTGCGTGGCCGTCAGCCTGCCCGGGCAATCGCACTGCTCGGCGCTTTTCCCCGTAGCTGCTTGCATATCAAACCCCAAGGGCTAGCAGCCTCTTCCAAGCTGGCAGATACTAGCTGGAGTTTGGTTTCTTGGTAGAGCACATGCTGTGGTTAAATGAATGCTTTGTTTGGCACAACAAAAGGCTGGAAAAATCCCAGGTGTGGTGGTCATTTCTCCGAAGTGAAAGATGGTGGCAGGAAGCTCTTTTGTACTAGGAAAGGCAAACAGAAGTGGTTAGTCCTCCTGGCTGTGCGTGTTTTGCCTTCAGAATGTCCATACGGTGCCACAGACCAGACTTCCCAGACCAGGCAGGAGGATGGGGCATTTCAAACCAGTACGGTGTCTCTTTCTCATCACCAAAAGCCAATAAATGAGCTGGGGAAGGGGGCAGGTGTGCCACACAGCTTCCGGAGAGCCTCTGTCGGTTTAGCTGGGTGATGTAAATGGAGCTTAATTTAAAATGACATTTGCATCAAGCTGTCAAACCAGTAACCTGGGCAAAACATGTCCCAAGGATGTGGGAGTCTGCCAGCACCACAAGGGCTTTGGCCATGTCTACGAGAGCGAGCAAGCGACTGAGCCAAAACCTGGCTTGCTGTTGCTCCTGCTGTCTTCAGTGCATGGCACCTCTTTCTGTGTAGCACACGCTTGCTGGCACTGTTTTGCACAGACCAGTTCTCTTGCTTTCCACCATCTCTGTTCATAAGGGGAGCAGGAACCAGAGAGGCCTGAAGTTCACCACAGTGAACCAAGAACCATGGATGACCATTGCAACTCCCGTTGACTAAACTACCCCGCATCCTGCCTGGCCTGCAGAGGCAACTCCATCATACTCATGGTATGTAGGCACCGACCATAAAAACATTTGATTGCTTAACCTCAGATGCTTGAGATAGGCTCACTGAGAAGGAGCAGGTGGGACCGTGTGAGCTGTAAACATCCCATAGGTTGTGTGCCCACCTAACCCAAGAAAGCCACGAAGCAGGCCAGAGGAACCATGGTCCATTGGTATTTGGCTGTGTGGGCCGGTGACACAGAGAATGAAGAACTACTGGCAGGATCTTTTGGCAGTTTAACACCAATTAGTGTCTTAAAATACATTTACACTCAAGGCTAATTTACTTGTTACTTTGAGTAATTAGCTGCATCTGTCTGAATGCAGCCTTGGATGTGAGGTGGGCATTTTCACCCGGGTGCAGATGACGAGGGTAGTTGCTCTGTTTGTGAAGTCCATGTCAGCAGCGCTCCTGGAAGGAAACGCTCCGTCTCCTGTGGCTCTTGGCCCGTGCGGTAGCTCCCAAGCCACCTCACGGCAGTCAGAGGTCAGGTAGAGATGTGTGCTGGGGATGTTATCGATATTCACCTCATCCATGTCACACTAAGCCTGTTCCCCGTTCCAGCTCGCAGCATGGCCCCGTGAAGACCAGGCTGTGGGGCAGGAATAAGCAGCCTGTCGCCGCTTGCCACTGGTGAACCGTGCCGTGGCTGGCCCCGCTGCCTTGCTTGTGAACTTGTGTTCAGTTCTCCCGCAGCGTGCAGGTAGGGACCTTGGGGAAGGAGGCAGGAATACTGCGTGCATTAAACCTCCCAGCAAGCAAGCTAACAGCTATTGAAACGTATAATTAAACCATTATTTTCTCTCGCCCCCCCTTTTTTTTTCTTCACCTGAACAAAATATTTTTCCATTTATTTGTTATCAGTGAAGGGAGTGAACATACTGAAACACGTCTGCTGTTCTGCTCTGCTACCCTCTATTAACTTCCTAAGCACTTGGGAGCCTTTGGCTCCGCTGCATGAAATAACAGGGAAACTAATTCGGCCGCTAAAACTCAATGATTGAGTCGGGCACCCTGAGAAAGGGAATGGCTTTTTACTGCTATTTTTTTTTGTTGTCGTTAATACATGTGTTCCCCCTCAAGTTCTTCATCGCCTGCACTGCTGGCAGCACGGATCGGATTCAGTTGCAGTTGGGGAAGGAAGGTCCCAGCCAGGAGCAGTGATGGTTGGGGTGACAACTCCTTTCTGTCCCAGCTGTGTGGTCTGCTGGGCCGGGTTTTGGTGAACAGCTTCTCGCAAGTCCCCTCGTCTGCGTGAGCCCTTCTCAGCACACACAGGGCGCGTCTCACAGTAGAGGCAATTAATACCCCATGGGGATGGCTCATGAACAGGTCTTGGCTGCATTGCCAAGAGTTTGGGCCAAGTCTCTCTGCTGATGTGGACACAGGGACAGGCGGAGGCAGGTGAAGGATGGGGCAAGCCTGGAAGAGGCAGCGGGGGCCGACTTTGCAGAACACGAAGCTTCCTGCTCCGAGCAGCCAGTCCCCACAGCCAAACACCCAGCGCCTGCTGCAGTCAGCACATGTCTGGGACTTGCAAAGAAAATTTAGATTCAAAGGCTAATGCTTATCAGTAAAACCTGTAATTGAAGAAATGGTAATCAAGTGAGATTACCAGCCCGAGCCTATTATCGGCCCCTGCGCAGCAGGTCAGGTCAGTGCTGCACGCGGTTAATGAAGCCGCGTCCTGCGGTGGTGGGGCCGGTGGGGTGCACGCTGCTGGCCCGGTCCTAGCACCATGCCAAGGCCGTGCTGCAGAGCTGTGCCCCCCGGGAACCGAGGAAGCTGAGCACTCCTTCGTTAGCCAGAATACACTCTCACTTGTATTTGTGTCTTGCTTTGCAGATGGGAAATGCGTCCAACGCCTCAGTGTTCATCTCCACCTTATCGGAGAGAGAAGACCTGATTTTTGGCACGCTGTACTTAGTCTTTGGTAAGGAAAGACAGCTGTTGTAAGGAAGGACAGCCTGTTGTACCTCTCCCCCTGCTGCAGACAGCCCAGGTGCCTGCCTGCCAGAGACGTTCAGGCCTTCCGCAGTCACTGATGCTTCCAGAAGTGTTCAGTCGTTAGTAGAATAATCAAACTGGCCCTTCCCCCATTAGCCTTCCCCATGTTACTCAGCAGGATGATCTGGCCAAAGCTTGGTGACTGCATTCCCCTCTCAGGGGAACTACAAGTACCGGTTATGTTTTTAAAGATTTAGAAAATTGAAGCATAATCTTTGATGAATGTGCAGTAACTCCTACTGCAGCGATGGACAGGGGCTCCCTGTCAGCACTGCCAGCTTTGTGGCTATTGGAGGTGATTTGGACCTCCAGCTAGCCCTTGCTTTCAGCAGAAGATGCTGGTGAATGCCCTGTGATTTGGAGTTCCTGGCATCAGAAAGCCAGTGGGCAAAACTGAGGGGCTGGGATGTGCTCTGAGGTGGCCGAGACCTGGCTGGTGTGGGCCAGAAGTGAATGCTGAGCAGAGAAAAATATTCCATTTTTCTGCGCCCTGAGCAACTTGTCTCCCAAATGCTAGAAGAGCTTTTCGTGCCTGCAAGGATGGGGAACCCAAGGGGTGCTCATGCTGCTGGGACTGCCAGCAGTCCTATAGGCACCTGCAGCTCCTAGGAGTTAGTAAAGCTAATCAAATGTGCTTAGTGCAGATGTGAGACTAGCTCTGTGGGAAAAACGCCTCGTGAGGCTCAGAACACAAACATCTCCGTACTCTACCCTCCAGCGACTCCAAAGCCCTGGATTTGGCCAGGTCTTGCATGGAAATCCTCTTCCTGAGAGGAACTTTAGTGTTGGCCATTCAGCGACTTTTGAAGCTGGTTCTGACCATGATATTTAATTTACAGCCTAATCCATGGGAAAAAACTTCTTCCCCTCCCCCCCCTGCCACAAGAGCAGCAAAGACTCCCCTTCTGAGGACACTGAAACCGCTTTTCAATGAAAGCACAATTTCATAATTAAAAAGAGAGAAAGCCCTTGTTATAAAATTTTAATCACCCCTGTTGTTTTACATACACCAATGGCAAACAAAGAGTTTTCTTTTGTTTAGTCTGGATTTTCCTTGATCTTCATAATGCATTTTTTCTTGTTTACTTTGTTACCATGATATTGGACATCACAGACTCACAGGAATGACATTGCCAGGAAGAAATTAAAAAGGCAAAGGGGCCCGGCTCCTTGGCCTCACATCAGAAGAGCAATCACACAAAGCTCCTGTTATTTATCTAGCTGGAAGGAAGTGCCCCCCCATGCTCCTTCCAGCTGCAAGAAGTGGGTCTGGCCAGATCCTGCACCCGGAGCCTGTTGCAGTCTCATTCCATCATTGCCCTCCTACAAGCGCCTCTGTAGGATCTCAGGAAGGGGAAGGGATCAAATTCAATATAAAGCAGCTCCAGATGTGCTCACAGAGCTCTGCAGGTCCCGTGGGCTCCCCTGCTCAGCCCACTCCGGAGAGGCAAGCCTGGAGCCCTTTCCACCCTCAGTAGACATCTCCGGTGTTTGCTTCCAAAGATCTCAAGATGATCCTGGCTCCTTTCCCGGCTCTCTTACAGACAGCACTGTTCCTCTGCCTTCTCCGCAGGCATCGTGTCCCTCTCTGGGAACTCGCTGCTCCTGCTTGTGGCCTATCGGGAGAGGTGC